CCGCCCTCCCCCCCAGGTCTTCTCCACGTTATTGGCTGTGTCCATAGGTCCTGTATATAAGCATCTAAGTTCTTCATTACCCCACCACCACCCCCTTCCCTCTGAAGTTTGTCCGACTGCCCCATGGTTCTGTCTCTGTATCTCTCTATCCATCTATCCATCCATCTATCTATCTATCCATCTATCTATCTTGCTTATCAGGTTACTGCGTTCATTAGCTTCCACCTATGAGTGAGATCATGTGGTACTTGTCTTTCTCTGACTGGCTTATAGCTTCTTAGTTTTAACAACTTACCAGGTTATGTAAGATAGTAATCTCAGGAAAACTGAGTGAGGAGAATAGGGGATCTTTGTACTCTCTGCAACTTTTCTGTAAAATAAAAAAATAAAATAAAATAATAAAATAAATTAAAAATTCAAGCTTTATTTTTGACAAGTTATATAACACTCAGTTACAGAAAACTGTGTGAAAATTACTTCTTACCAAGATGAGCATTACGTTTCTCCAGAGGGGACTCAGGAGACTGAGGTTTCCCCTAACATTGTAAGGTCATGCTAGGAAGAGTCATACCACAAGGACGGCAGACGGGGCTCCCTGGATCTCTGCTCGTCCAAAGTCAAGTGCTCCCAGGTCCGTGCTAGCCCCAGACCTCAACGAGAAACAAATCTCATGACCAGCTCCCCATGAGGGGGATTTATAAACGGGGCACTTGTGGCCATTTGGGAAAGACAATGTACTTCACTATGGCCGGTGTGGCTCAGTTGGTTGGCATTGTCCTGTGCACCAAAAGGTTACCAGCTATTCCCGGTCAGGGCATATGCCCAGGTTGTGGGCTTGGCACGCGGTGGGAGGCATGCAGGAGGCAGCTGACTGATGTTTTGCTCTCATATCGATGTTTCTCCCTCTCCCTCTCCTTTTCTCTCTCTCTAAAAATCAATAAAAATATCTGAGGGGAAAAGAAGAGAAAGGCAATGTACTTCAATGTCAGACAGATTTGGGGCTGCGTCCCAACTCCACCCGTTAGTAGCTGTGTCCTTAGACAAGTCAATCAACCTCTCAGATCTTCAGGTTCCTCTTATAAAAACTTTAAGTATGTTTACCCCACAGGGCTATTGTGATGATAAAAGGACAAATGAAATCGCCCAGCCTGGTGTCTAGAAAATATTATAATCTAATTAATGTTACTTTTCTTTCCTTCCTTGGTGGTTTCTCTCCATAATCACTCCTTTCAATACAGCAGGAGAGCCCCTGACGTCTGACATAGTTCACAGGACGCCAATACAGGAAGAACTGAGTTGCGGCTTCTAGAGAAAGGTGATCGGCTCTGTGTGACTCCAGGGTTTCTGGAAAGAGAGAATAAAGATGGAAGACTCATTACCCCCGGCCTTTAAAAGCATACGCTACAGTCAAAGATCCAGAGATTTACTGAGTAATATCGGTGTATTTATTTCCTCTCTTGCGATGCAGATCATCATTCTGAACTGTGAGGGCAGCGACATTGAGACAAATAATTTTCCTGTCTTTAAAACAGGTCGGAAATGTTATCAAATAAATCGAGTGTGTGCCTGGGTGCAGACAGCTCGTTCGCAAGCTGCACACACAGGGAGTGGCTTACCAGGCCCCTCGCCCCCTCCGCTGAGGCAGAGCTAGTCCTGTATACAGTGCCCACAGCCGCCAGCCCCTCGCCCAGCTGGGACTCCCCCGGACCAGGGGCCTCACAGCCCTGCCCCCCCCCTCCCCCCCGCTGTCTTCACCCTCCACACTCCCTTTCGCTTCCTTGTTCATTTATTTCCATGCCAGGCAAATTCTCACACATACCATGTCCTTTCACCCTTTTTTGCTCCAGGAATAAAACTCGCCATGGGCCAGTTATCCAAATCCCTAGGGAGCCTTGTCAAAGGGCCCCTTCTCCCTCGTCCTGAGCCAGGGTGCGTCCCGAAATCCCTCCCCGCGGCCTGGAGGAATGGGAGGCAGGGCATACAAAATCTGAAAAAGATTCCCAGCGGACCCAGGCTGCTTCTCACCGCTCCAGCCCTGTCTGAGAAAGCAGTGGGCTAGACTAGAAGATCCATCTCCACGTTGATTTAGGGAAGGAACATTCCTGGGAAACTTACTTTAAATGCCTTCAGGGAGATTCCGTATCCCCGGAAGACTGGCATTTAAGGCTGTCTTAAAATTTACCTTCAGTTCAGGCTCTACAAGATCCATGCCTCCTTCCTCTTAATCTTTTCTTTCGTTTGTTTTTTAAACAGCTGAAAATGGCTCAACAGAATGCTGGTAACAACGATTAGGGGACCCCAAAGTCACACATGTTTAAGTGAAATTTTGGCACTATAAAGATACGATGTATACTTTAAAGTATGTGTTTTTCCTGATTACAGAAGAAATCTATGTTCATCACAGAAAACTGAGAAAACGTAAAAAAAAAATATTACTCTAAACTTTCCACCAAAAAAAATTGCTATTTGCAATTTTCTTTAGATATACATTTTTTAACAAATATTGGTATCATACTGCATATTTTAATTTTTTATTTTTATTTCACTTACTAATATGTCACAAGTATTTTCTCAGGTCATATAAAAACGTTCCCTGACTACAGGACAATAAATAACTACAAACCACTTCATCATGAAGACATATGTTATTTTATGTATTTACGGTATATAGCCTAAGTCATTTGAGGAAGGCCAGAGAAACTACGGTGTCTGAAAGAATGGAGATACTTATTTCTCATGAACAGTCCTGCAGCTAAGGTGTAAGCAGTCCAGAGCTGGTGCGACAGCCCCCGATGCCAGGAGCTATGGAGCCGAGTCTAGGATGGATAATTGTTCCATCCCAGGCAGTCGCCTCACCTGCATGGTCCAAGCTGACCAATCATCACCTTCCAGCACACAGGAAGACGCCAAGGCACAGGGGAAGGAAGGGCCTACTTGCCTGGGGCCTCACCTGGAAATTACACATCACTTCTGCTCAGACTCTGTTGGCAGAACTGGATCACAAGGCACCACCTACTATGAGAGGAAGCTGTAGCATGTAAATCAGCTGCCAAAACTCTGGGTAGCTAAAAATTCTGTCACTACGGCAGAGAGGAGAAAGATAACAGGTATTGGGGAAACAAGAGGGTTTCTGCGGCTCATTTAGAGTTCTTATGTCATAATGTGCATTTAGTCACTCAGTAATCCTTTTATCTCCTACTCTTAAAATTCTTTAAAAAATGAGTACCTCCAGGTTTTGTAGTATAAAATACTGGCTTGGGTAATCCTTACTAAATATTGCAGTCCAGTGGCCAAATGAGAAAAATTCAGATAATTTGTAAAATTTGGTGATTTCTCTTTTTTGTTGTTAATAAAGAGAATGTTATTTTAATAAGACTATTTCTTCTGAGCTCTGCAAATATTACATAAGTATTTTATGAACACCAAAAGAACTATCTAAATTATTATTCCCCAATTCCCATTACAAAACTTACCAATATTCTATCTTCACATTCCTGCTCCTCTGCAGCCATAGTTCTGCTGTTCCAACAAAAAAACAAAACAAAAAAAAGCCAGCATTTTCCTGGAGAATTGTGCAGTGTCCAGACAGTTCAATGCATAAATTCACAGAGATGACCTAAAGCCACCAAAAGTCAGGTACTCCCACAACCAGTCCAATGGCTCCTCCTGGCTCTCCACTGATTTCCATATCACATGCAGAGACACAATCTTTTGTAAGGTTGCACACAGATTGTGTTAATTTCACTATTTGGAACTTGCTCTTTTGGTTTTTAATTTGAAGATCTAAGTAACTGGCTTTAATTAAGAGACTCATGAACAGGAAGCATCCCACCAAGCCACTAGAAGGGCGCTCTCTGGAACTTGCCTTTGACCTTGGGCTAGCTCCCTGGACTTGAAGATCCTTGGAACTATCTGGGTTGGGCTTCCTCAATACTCCCCTCCACCTAGCAACTCTGGCCCTTCCCTTCTTTCTAGAACAAACCTAGAAATCCAGTCCTCCATACTGTTTTCCAAGATATGGAAACAACCTAAGTGTCCATCGACAGAAGACATGGTATGTCTGTACATAAATACCGTGCAATAGCTCAGTTACTGTCACGATGTATACCTATTTTCTTTCGCTTTTTTACTCCCTTTTCTCCCTGAAACTGTCCTGTTTTCCTCTCCTCTGTGCACTCTCTTGCTTGCTTTAAGCCAATCCACTGATGCCCAGTGACCACTTGCCCAGTGCTGAGTCCTTACTCAGGACACCTCAGCTAAACTTCAAAAATGTAACTAACAGTGTTGTGTGCCAGTCTCAGCTCAGCCTATCAATAACCAACACTGTGACTGGCCAGGCTCTTGTGGTTCTTATTATGACTGCAAGATACCCTTTAGCAATAACCAGGAAACTTTGAAATAATAAAGATTTATTACTTATAGAACCTGGAAATTACACAGCACACTTGAGGCCACACAGTGAAATCACAGGGAGGGAGGGAGAGAGGGAGGGAGGGGAGAGAGAGAGAGAAAGAGAGAGAGAATGGGCTCTGCTTTTATTGGGGTTGAGGGGTGGGGACATAGGGTTTCTAGGGATCACTCTTGGTGAATTTAAAACATAGGAGTGGGAATTTAAAGCGCAGGGAAAGAAAAAAACATGTGGCCCAAATGACCAGTTATTAAAATCAACCAAGTTCTCTAAAACAAAGGGGCCTCAATGGGGGGAGGCTGGCAATGTGTTTATGTGCTGAAGTGGATGTCTTGCAATCAAAGCTTAAGTCAGATTGTTTCTGCATCGTGGCTACTGTAAATAATGCTGCAGTGAATATAGGGGGGGCCTATATCTTTTCAAATAATTGTTTTTATATTCTTTAGGTAAATGTCCAGAAGAGGGATTGGTGGATCATACAGTAGTTCTACTCTTATTTCTTTTAAGAATCTCCATACTGTTTTCCAAGATATGGAAACAGCTGAAGTGCCCATCGACAGATGAATGTATAAAGAAGATGTGGTGTGTGTATACACACACACACACACACACACACACACACATATATGATGGAATACTACTCAGCCATTAAAAAGGTGAAATATTACCATTTGCAACAGTATAGATGGACCTTGAGGGCATTATGCTAAGTGAAATATGTCAGATGGAAAAGTACAAGAACTGTATGATTTCAGTCGCATGCAGAATATAAAACAAAACCAAAAAAAAAAGCAACTAATGAACAAATAAAACAAAACAGACTCAGATACAGAAAACAGACTGGTGGTTACCAGCGGGCAGGGGGGTGGAAGCGGGTCAGTTACATGGTGACAGATGGTAACTAGACTTTGGTGGTAAGTGAATTACAATACTGTCCACCTGGAACTTAATGATGTTACCTCAATAAGAAGAAAAGAAAAGCTTAAGTCAGGCACTTGTCCTACGAGGAAGATGAACTACGGTCGGGCTCACACTACAGGTGCGGCCTACAGCGTGTTGGGCCGGGGCAACTTCCCGCTCTACTTCAGCAGCCGGTGGGGCAAGGTGGCGATTGCCATCATGCAGGGATGCAACGCCCATGCAAACAAAATACATGAAGAGGGATGCCTCAAACAAGTTCCTTTAAAAAGTGCCTACATTTAAAATACGAGCCCCCCCCCCAAAAAAATTGCAAACTGAACTGAAATACAGGCACTCAAAAGCCTACAAAGCCAGCTCAGCAATTACAGAAACGCATTCCTCGGGCCGCGGGGAAAGCTGCTAGCGGAGAACCCTGCTCCCGAGCCGCACAGCGCCTCCAGCCGCCGCTTCTCGCCGATGCCCGCTAGTTGCGGAAACGGAGAAGCCGCTTCGCTCTGCTTTTCAGTTTGGGGTGTGTGAGGACAATGAGAACAGAGTGCGCCGGGAGGTAAACCGTGGAGATCATCATACATATGGACCTGGTCCTCAAGTCCATCCGTACAGAAGGGAGGTGCTGGAGCAGCACGGCCACTGAGTAGGGGATGTACAGGAGGAGGAAGCAGGCCATGAGCTTTATGGCCCCCACGTGAGCCTCCGTCTGCGGATTCCACAGGCTGCCGGCGTTCCGCCGCATCTTCCCCATGTGCCTCCTCAAGGAGTTTATTAGCAAGGAGGCGGACGTCACATTAACGACGAACTGGAGAAACGACCTCGAGCACAGGGAGATCACCAGGGACACGGTGTCCTCGCTGACGGTGGGCTGTGTGCCGTTCCTCCCAGTCACGAATTCGGGAGAGGGTAGCACAACATACAGAAATGTGGTGAAGGCAGAAATCAGCACGCAGGCCAGCAGCAGCCTGGGGATCTTTGGGGGGAGATGCCGTTTCAGCAGGAGAAACACGGGGTGTTGCGAGTTAGCGATCTTCACACAGTACAAGACATTGAGCAAGGTTACAAACCAGAGACCGCTGGAGTCCAGAAACGTCCAGCACCACAGGAAAAGGATGGATACGTGGACCAACCTTTCGGGGTTCGGAGCGATGAAGAGGTACATGATGTACAGCAGGAACAGTCCCAGCATGAGGAACCTGGTGACGCCCAGGCTGAACAGAATCCGATCCGAGGAGGACATTCTGCGGCTTTGGAGCCACGTCTTGTAATTGACCACTGCAATAAACAGATTCACGACGAGTCCCACAGAATTCAAAACTGCTGAGGCAGTAACAGCAGGGACAAACAACATCTTTACTCGCGGGGGACTCAACAGCTGTGGTGCTGATGCTGCGAACAGGGGAAACACTGAACCGTGCCAGGAGGCACCGGGACCCAGCCAGGCGGGACATTTCCCTCTGCAGTTTTCCCCAGTGTGGCAAGCGAGCCATTAGTGGTCTGCGAGCCGGCTGCTTTTACTGAGATGCAAATCGCCCAAGGGTTACATTACTGGTTCTTCACTCATATCCTGTTTTCTTTAGAAATGCCCCGGATTCCAACAGCGGCGGGGAGCCCGGGAGTCCACTCCTCCGAGGGGAGAGCTGCGGGGAGGAGCTGGGGCAGGTTCCGGGGCCTCCAAGCCCAGTGAGAGCTCCCGTCCAGCGCTGTTGTGACTGCTCCACAGGGAGTACAGCTTTTCTTCCCAGCAACCCCGGAATTGGGTGGGAACCCCCATGCCTCACTCCTACCCCCCTGCCCCCATCCGTACGTCCATGGATCACCTGAATCCAACCTCTCTCCCCCCTGGAATCTGTTCGCCTCGCAGCTGCCATTCTGGCCATGCCCGGGTTCCCCTCCCATCCCTTAGCACCTACGGTGATTTAGTTCTCTGGCAGGACAAGCTCAAGGAGCGCTCGCTTCCCCGAGAAAGCCTTTTTCGTCTAATTCCACCCTCTCGTGAGGACTCCTTACTTTGCCTTCCCCCACCAGTCACGTATACAGGTTTGTGCCGCAATCCTTTGCCGCAATCTGCTTTCACCTAGAAAAAGCAACGCCAGCCTTTCTGTGGGCTTCCTTTATGGATCTGGGTTCATGCTTCAGGCACACGTGCTGTTTCCCCTGAGGCATTTAACTGCCAGTCAAAATACTCTGGTACCCTTAACAGTAATGCTTTAGTTATAGTTTTGTGGGCCTCACAGATAGGCATCTCACCGCCTGGTTGCTCAGGGAGGAAGGACATCCTGAGAAAAATGTCCAGTCTCTTCAGATTTAAAAACAAAAATCTCAGCAATGCCCTCGGCAGTTCCCTGGATCTGTCTCTTGCTTCAGCAGTGTTTGGGTGGAACAGACCCAGGGACGCCCCTTCTTCCTGCCTCTGACCACCCTCCAACCCCTTTTCCAGTCGCCACCTTCGGAACCACCTCAGCCACCCTCAGCCTCAGAAACCAGCCAACACCATTTTTTGACCATAACTCCTTATTGCCGAACAACCATGAGCTCCCAAAGTCCTCAGAATTATTCCACCCAGGGGGAGGCCCCGTCCACCGCCTGGCCAACCTGCACCTGTGGCCTCCTGCACCTACTTCTCTCTGGGCTTCTGTTTCCACCTGGACGGCCTGGCTGTGCAGGGCGTGGCCTCTTCTTCCTCCAGTTGCTGGAGAAAAAGCTCCAGGGTGCTGAGCGTCTCTTAAAGATGCAAAACCAGTGCGGTGGCCGCCTTCTCTTCCAGAACGTGCTGAAGCTTCCCAGGAAGAGGGGGGTGACACTCAGGATGCCATGGAAGCTGCCGTGGCCTTGGAGAGGAACCTGACCCAGGCCCTTGTGGACCTGCAGGCCTTGGGTTCTGCCTGCACAGACCCTCAGCTCTGTGACTTCCTGGAGAACCACTCCCTGGGCGAGCAGGTGACACTCATCATGAAATGGGCGACACCTGGCTCACCTCCACAGGCTGGGCTGGGCGAGTATCTCTTGGAAAGGCTCGCCCTCAAGCAGACTAGGAGCCTTTGGAGCCCAGAGGCCTTTGCATCCCCTGGTGTCTGGCTTCTGCCTGAGCCTCTCCCTAAAACCACTCGTCATTTTCAACCACCCGGGAGCCCTCTCCCATGCATTGGACCAAACAGAAACAATAAAGCTTTTTGCTTAATTAGGGTCCAGGTGTATGGAGAGAGGGGTGAGATTAATTCCACCTCATGGTGGCAGAGAAGTGTCGTGTCCTCTCCCTTAGTGTCCTTGTCTCCTCAGGCTTCCAGAAAGAGGTCCTTGTCCTTTGGTTGCTGCTTGCCCCGCTAGCATTCAAAGCTGACTGTGCCCACGCTTTGCTCCTACGGACTGCAAACAGGGAGCTTTTAAGCAGTCCTCACAGAGAGGGGCAATCAGGACTCTCGCCTGCCCTGCTACAGTCCCTTTTCTCTCCCTCTCTCCTCCCACCGTGCCCTGGGGACTGGAAGGAGCAGACCTCCCCTGACCTCATGTCGTCTTACAGCACCAGCAACAAGAAAGTTCACCGATTCACTGTCGTAAGAGCAGGACACCATGAGCTATATACTCCAGACTGAAACCCCCGATAGATTAAAATACTAATAGCTAGCCCTAGCCGTTTTGGCTCAGTGGTTAGAACACTGGCCTGAGAACTGAAGTGTCCTGGGTTCAATTCCAGCCAAGGGCACGTACCTTGGTTGCAGGCTCCATCCCCAGCCCTTGTCGGGACATGTGCGGGAGGCAACCAATCGATGTGTTTCTCTCACATAGATGTTCCTCTCTCTCTCCCTCTCTCTCTCTCTCTCTTCTTTCCACTCTCTCTGAAAAACAATAGAAAAAATATCCTCAGGTGTGGCTTTAAAAAAAAAAATACTAACAGCTAATATTTGTAGTACATTTACTATGCTTTAGTTGCTAAAGTACTCTACAGACATTGTCTTATATAATCCTCACACCAATCCTATGAAATATGCCTATGTGATAGTGAAGGAAGCTGAAGTCCAAGGAAGTTTAGCAACTTGCCAAAGAATGTGCTTCTAATTAGTGGTGGGGTCAGGATTTGAACCCAAATGTGTGTGATTCCAGAACTAACACTCTTTGCCATCACACTATACATATTTCTAGCCCAGCAAAAGGTAGACATACCAGAAAATAATATACAATTGTCAGCAGCAGTTGTTGGAGCTTATAAGGTCACTTTTCTTTTGAAAAATAACTTCTTGCAGATTAAGAACAAATAACATTGACTTTCCACTTATCCAAAGTCAAGAAAATCACAAACAACTTTAAGATGCTCTAGAGATCCCTGTTCACTGACAATTGGGAAACATATAAGGGACACTATATAAGGTAAAGAGCCCTGGTAAGCACTGAAACTGAGAAATCTGGGAATATATTTTTTGTTGTTGTTGCTTTAATGTCTTTTTTACATATGATCCTCCTGGACCCAAGCTACAGTTCAATCTCATTAATTGATAAGATCTATGAACTTGGCCCAAGAGGTCAGGGGGTACAGAAAATGAGAAGTATCCCTGGCCGGTGTGGCTCAGTTGGTTCAGCATCATCCCATGCACCAAAAGGTCACCGGTTCCATTCTCGGTCCAGGGCACATGCCCAGATTTCGGGGTTCAATCCCCAGTTGAGGTGTGTACGAGAAGCAACCGATCGATGTTTCCCTCTCACATCAATGTTTTTCTCTCTCTCCCCCTTCCTTTCTCTCTTAAAAAAAAATCAATAAAAACATATTTTTAAAACTTGAGAAGTAATCCCACGAGACATAGAACATAAGGGCCCTGGATGGAAACTTGGAAGGTCTCATGAGCTACTTTCATAGTTGCTATGACACCAAATGCACCAAAGAAGAGATGTGTTTGGAGGGCACACACGGTCAGGAACAAGCTCGAACATATAACTGGACTCCAAATGCGGGGACATTTGCCATCCCCGTGCTCTGACCCAAGGAACCTGGTTGTAATGGAGGAAAGCCCTGCTCTAGTCCCTTGTGCAGCAAACGATGAGATTTAAGAGTTTTAAAGGGTTTAGCAACCCAAGTTAATTCACTGGAAGCAAAACCAAACTAACAAGACGGCCCCCTCCAGGGTTTCTCAAAACTGGGCCTGAAGCATTGACTAGGTCTTTCTTCCCCACGCCCCGGGACCCGGTGAGGAGCCAGCACTCAGCCAACTGGACTCCCACAGCAGACTCCCCACTCGGGGAATTCTAAGTTTTCCAACCGCACTCGGGGCTCCAGGGGAATGAACACCAGTGGGAACTTTAGCGTGTTCACTGCACCTTTCTGAATCTTTTGGGTCAGTGTAGGATTTATCAGAGCTGCAGTGGAGACAGGAGAGAGGGATCCTTCAGGAGTTAGAACTGAAAGGCAGCCAAGCCAAAATCGCCAGTAAAACTCTATGTTCCAGTAAAAGGGAGGAAAATCCCACACCTGAGGCAAGAAGCAGAATCAGGGATTCGTGTTAGGGATGAAGGACCAGGAGGTGAGAGCCGGGCAGAGAAGTTGTGAAGTTGTCCGGGCAGGGAAAGGGGCCCAGAGTGGGTTAGGATGAATTCGAGAGCGGGGTGAACCAGCGGACGCCAGCCGGGACGGCGTGGATTTCCATAGCTAAACTGCCCTGTGCTGAAGAGAAGCACAGATTTTTACTAATAGCAGAAAGACCCGTTTCAGAATCCTTCTGTTATGGTAAATTGGGGATGAATATTAAACCATTCTTTTAAGTTTCAACAGATGCCCTTTTGAAAGGGAATTTTAAGTTATGTCGGAATGACATGTTTTCCCAGCAGCTTCAAGGGGCAAGCATCGATTTGGAAGCAAACGGTGCAGACCAAAAGACATTTTGTTCCTATAATTTTAGAAATGAATCTATAAATCCCAGAACCATCCTAAAATTAATTTCTGATTGCATATGATCAAATGCCAAGTAATGTGGGGATCCTTCGTGCTATGGCAAAATATAACAAAATAACAATAGCAATATTTATTGAGTGTTTTTACTCCATGTGGAACTCGAAGCATTTTTCATGTTGTTAACGCATTCATTCCTTCCAACAATGCCACCAACAAAATACAATTCCCGTTTTACAAATGCAGAAAGTGAAATAGAGAGAGGTTAAAGAACTTCCCAGAGTCACCTAGTTCCTAAGGGTTGGGGTCGGAATTTGAATCCAGGGTCTCGGGGTCCATATTCCACAACAGCTCCACACCCGAGAACCCCATTAGTGATAAAAACCCAGATTCAGGATGGCCACATGTCCTAGATATGTGCACAAGTTCGACAATTCTTCGTGATCTTAAGCAATAACATTCTCATTGACTTGTCGCCACTGTTCAGCAATGGGAAGGAAATCAATGCCTATGTAATTTAATTAAAATAAAAGTGATTAAACTTATAAAAACTGCTTCTATTATGTTTTAAATAAAATTCTGAAATTTTAAAAGCAGATACCCACCTTGGGCCATTAAAAAAAAAAAAAAAAATGCCTGGTCTTTTTTGCCCAATCTAAAAAATAAAAAAATTACTTGGAAATTGACTTTAGCCAAATGGCAAAGGAGTGCGAGGACGACTGCACTAGAAGGAAGATGACCCTAGTGCCCAAGGGTCATTCCGCGCCACTCATCACCATGCAGTGGAGCTGTGGAAACTGGTACCTTGTGGGAACCGCTGCACAGTTCACTGTTACTCACAATAAGGGCTTCCCCTATTGAGCGCTTTATACAATACGCTCTGCTAAAATGCTGGCGCATCTGGTCTCATGAATCTCTAAGACCCTGTGAGGTGATGTCACAATCCACATTTTAAAATGGGGGACGAGAGGACCAGACAGGCGATTAAAGTAACTCGCCGAAGGCCAGAAGTCTTGGAGGACACATGGAACCAGAGTTAAAACCCAAATCTGCGGGACTGGCAATGCTTTTGCTCTTTTCCTCAAGTCCATGACACTGTTTTACTTACAACAGCTTTATCAACGTCAGTATACACTTTAAGATAAAGCTAGTAATCAGCTCATTACGTTGCGCTGGTAGTTATTAAAATAGAACTCCATGTCTACATAGTGAGAGTGCTCTTGATATATTGACATTTTCCAAAGACTGTTTTACAGTCTCCAACACAATCACGCAAAGAGAGCCGTGAGAAGTGTCCCCGGTGGGAAGGTCAGCGGTCTCTCACCTACTGATATTTTAGAACTGGTGGGTCAGAAAGAGAGCCCTGTAGTCTTGAGCCGGGCTGAGGGGTTCCCAGGCTCCCTCCTGTCCCCTGGGCCATTCTATGGGGAAAGGGGTCCCTTGGGCACAGGCTTCAGATGGCCAGACTCACACCAGAGCAGCTCCACAAACGTCTGCCTCAGCCTGTTGTTCCCCAGAATGAGAACAAATGAGTGGCAGACAGGGTAAAACATGGTAATGACCTCTCCGATCATTTTAGTCATCTCTCTTTCCCCCGGTAGGAAGTAGCTGGAGGACGTGATTGAAACGGCAACGAAGTAGAGCAGGAAGAGAAACACAAAGGAGAGGATCATTCTGATGGCCCTCTTGTGGGCGTCGGTGCTCGGGTCGCTGGGGCCCACCGCGCTCTGCTGCATCTGCCGCGTGTGCCTCCCCAGGGAGAGGATGAGCAGGAGGGAGGCGGCCAGGCACAGGACCAGGAGGGGGAGGTTCCGCAGCATCCCGAGGACGTGGGTCAGCTGGAATTGATTCTTTTGCTTTCTAAAGTGCTCGCTCACATTCCCCGTGCCATCGGCTCCACGGAGAACAGAATGCAGCTTGAACTCCTGAACCAGAGTCACGAGGCTGCCGCACGAAGAGAACAGCGCCCCCCACAGCATCCATCCGACCACCCTGGAAGCTCTCCACTTGAGCCAGAGGAACGTGGGGTGCGAGAAACTGGCGATTTTCAGGCAGTAGAGGACACTGAGGCAGGTGGCCAGCCAAGTGCTCAGGTGGTTTGTAAACGTCCAGAAGAGATCGATCACTTGCATGGCTTCCCCCATCTCGTGGAGTCTGGGAGAGAACACCATTATCGTAGAGTCAGCAAAGAGGATCCCCAGCACAACAATCCTGCAGAGAGCCAGGGTGGTCAGGATGAAGTCAGACAAAGAGATTCTCTTGCTCTTGAACCAGCTGCTGCCATTGACCATCCCAATGAAGCCATTGCCCAGCATGCCTAGGGTGAACTGGGTGACAGAGAGAAACAGAATCAGCGACCTGGCGAGCCCTAGCATCCCAGCTGCTGGGCAGAGCTGACCTCTGTCCTTTCTGTGGATCTACAGTCTGTTGATCTTTCTGTAGAGCCTGTCGCCTCTACCTGCTGCTTCACTGCACCCGGCTCCCGGCTCTTCCCAGTCTAGTCTGCTGTGGAGCACCGTCGATGGGACCCGCTCTGGCTCTTCCAGCTTGGTCTGTCCTCTTTACAGATGACACGGGTTGTCACACTCCATCTAAATTCAGCTGCTCTTTGCCAACATGCAAATAGGGTAGTGTCCAGTGTCACGCAGAGAGGAAAGAGATCTGAGTCACGAAGGAGATGGAGGACTTGGGCTCAGTTCCAAAGGGAGCAGAGCTCTGAGCTACCTGGGACAGAAAGGTGAGCGTCACCGGAAGAGTCACACAAACAACCCAGAGGGAGGACTCGGGGCACACACAGAAAGGGGGAAATACCAGGATTCCGCCGTAAGGCACTGTCAAGGTGGAAGTCCATAAACAGAGTTCAGTCCGTGCCACGGCTGCGCCTCCTGGAGTGTGCCATACTTGGGGGGCCCCAAGTTCCTCCCGGTGAGCCATATGCTCAGAAGGCCTAGCTCTCTGAACACCTGCATGATAGCCATACTGGAGTATAGCACGTAAGCTATTCAAAATACGAATTTCTCAGAGTGCCCGACCGCCGTACAGGGGTGGGCGGAAGTAGGTCTTTGTATAACCACCTCGGGAGGCAGGGGGCTGACCCAGGCTGGTCACTGAGATCCAGGTTCATTTACTGATTTTCAAAGGCTATGAGACTGCAAATAATAAGGGCCGGCAATGTGAGCACTTATGAGATTGTATCTCAGCGCTCTGTGCCACTGCGACACGCTTTTGCCTTAATAAAGCTACTGTAATAATCATAACCTGCAGGTCTCTTTCCATACGAACAGCTGTCGACCTGCTTTTGCCCACCCCATGTTCCTAAATAGTTAAGCTGACAGATCACACGCAGATATCACTTGTCAAGCAAAGAAGGCTTATTTATCTAACACAGTGCCTTACAAATCTTGACCATGACCAACAGTAATACTTTATATGACTTTTATACATGTATATGTCACTATATAAAATTATACATATTCACCATCTAAATATATGTGATATATGTAATACACGTTGTATTTGGGAACACAGAGGTTTCACAAAACCATACTTTCCCTTTCTACATGTGTGGCTCTCTGATATTTCCTATGACATTCTCTTTCCTTCAGTGTTGCTTGCTGATCACAAACTTGACCTTGCAACCTACTAATGAGCTGTGAGAAGTACTGTTTGGAAACACTGATCTGAACAATGGAGAGAAATCAAGACGCACAGAGGAGAGCATATCAGCAACACTATCCAATGAAAAACAGAAGGCTATGCTCCTAGGTCCCCCCAGAAGGACTGCACAGAGTAGCGGATGATAAATCTGAATAAATGAGGCACTGTCTCTTCTGAGTACGGGCCAAGGGGCCAGTCGCCTGAGCCAGGTGAACTCATCAGTCCCGGCGTCGCGTGGTGTTCAGTGTGATTTCAAAGCCCTGCAGAGTTCACTCGGGCATGAGCACAGTCCTCCTCAGTCACCCTCAGCTTTCTCAGGCTGACTTAACAACGTGGCCCGGTGCCCCCAGAGCTCCGTGTGGCAGAATCAGGTGGCCAGTCCCCAGCTATCTCCCCGGGGACCTGTTGCAGGACTAATTTTACAACCTACCACCCACACTGGTCAGCTGTTTTCTGATGGCCTCAGTTCCAGATTCAGATTTCTGTTGTAACACCTTTTACACACCCTCAGTCTTACACTAATAAGATTCCCCATCCATGTGTTAGCATTTACCGAGGAGAAAGTTTAGAATATATAACCTATCATAATGCATTTTCTAGCAACTTTGTTCATGAAATATACTATCTCATGTTTGATCACACTTTTTCACTAGCCCGATTGCTTTTACCCCTCCCAAAGTGAGAACTTGCACCTTTTTATAAGCCATTATTGAGCAATTTAGGGTTAACTGTAATTTTTCTCGTCTTTTGATCCTACCCTGGGACAGTGTTCACCACATTAGCTGGTGACCGGAGTTCAGAGACTTTGCTGGATACCATCATTATCTCTGCCCTTGTTCCATCAGGTACAGCCGATACGAATCATAAACCCAGTTACACCATTCTAATTTTTAACGTAAATACTACAACTATCACACCAGGACTAAATATCATAGCTTTAGTAACGGCTGCTTCCAAAATATTTGTTGACCATGAACCACCAAGATGACCACATAGGTATTCCAAGTCCGATTCTATTAGCATAAATCGCGCCTCGGATAAACCTCATCGGCTACGATACTGCCACAAAGCTCAAGTCCAATTCTAAAAGTTAATCTGGTGACAGCAATAGCTGCAATCCGTTTCCACTGCTGTGTAATATTCCACTGTGTGAGCATTTATTTACCCATTTCCTGTCGACGAATCTTTGGGTCGTTTCCAGTTTTGTACTATTAGGTACACTGTTGCTTATAAACACCTTCGGACGTGTGTCTTGGACCACATGGGCAAGTTACCTAACGGTGGAGTAACTAGGTGAAATCTCAGCATTACAAGTTAATGCCAAAACGTTTTCTCAGAAGAAAGTGACAATTTACATTCCCCCACCAATGCATTATGTTTTCATTGGTCTGCAACATCCTCCTCCAACTTGGTTCTAGCAAACGAACTGAAATTTGCCAACGTCGAGAGCTTAAAATGAAATTTCACTGGTTCCTGGTTTGCATTTCCTTGATGATTAATGATCACTTTTCCATGTATTAATGGATCGTTTGTATTTCCTTCTCTGTGAAATGCCTCCATGGCTCTGACCATTTTTTCTACTGAGCTATTTTCTTATTGCTCTGTAGGCCTTTATAATATTTTAGTTATATTATTGCAAATATCTTCTCAGTTTGTGACTTGTCATTTTGCTTCCCGGTGATTTTTTAACAGTTAAAGTGATCGCTATTTTCTATGTTTTCATTTTTGCTTGAAAAGAAAAAGTCGGTATCCCCAAATCATAAGGACATTGTTTGATATTTTCTTTCAAAAATGTTGAAGTTTTGCGTTTCACAAATAAGTCTTTTAAATAACCAAGTATTCATTTTTGCATCAGGTGTAAGGTAGAGAATCCAACCTCATCTCTTTTTGTATGGAAGGCAAATTTTCCTAGCATCACTTATTGGCTAATGTGCCCGTTATCCAGGGACCCATGCCACTTTTATCACACAGCAACGCCACACGTGCGGGTCTGTTTCTGGGTCCTCAGTGCTGCACCACTGTTCTGTTAATTCCTGTGTCCGTAGTACATTTCCTTTATCACTACAGCTTTATTAAAAAATATATATTGCTGCCTGGCTGGGTGTGGCTCAGAGGTTGCGCATTAGCCTAGGATCCAGGCAATCGGGGTTAGATTCCTGGTCAGGGCGCATGCCCAGGCTGCGAGCTCGATCCCCGGTCGGGGGCTTGCAGGAGGCAGCCAATCAATGACTCTCTCATCACTGATGCTTCTCTCCCTCTCTCCCCCTCTCCCTTCCTCTCTCTGGAATCAATAAAGATATATTAAAATATATATATTGCCAACTGAAGGAGCAAGTTCCCCATTCATTCTTCCTCTGCACGAGTAAATTATCTTTGCTTATCAATAAATCTTTATAATTAGGTTGACCAGTTCTCCCAAACGCTTTGGGGAATTTTTATGCATTTTGATCTGTAACATCAGCTTGGGAAAAGGTTGACATCTTTCTATTACTGGCGCTTCCAATAAGCATGGTGTACCAATGTGTTTAGTCTTCCTTTCATGTATTTCAGTGGTGTTTTATAATGTCCTCTAGAGACCACACATTTGGAGACTCCTTTCCTCTTCTGGTGCTTTTGTATACGGCATCTTTTTAAAATTACATTTTCGTCACTGTTGCTTGCAACTGACGTTTGTATGCTGATCCTATTTCCAGCAATGCTTACTCCTCATTCATCAATGGATTTTGTTTTCTGTGTAATCACAGCATCTGTAACTTTTTCCTTTCCAATCTTGATACTTTTTCTTTGCCTTCATAACTGTGCTTGCTGGAGCCTCAGTAAGGTAGGTTGTTAACGAGAAGTGGTGATAACAAGACATCCTTGCCTTGTTCCAGATTTAAACACTCTCTTCTTTCGAGAATGTTTGAGGGACACCTTTGACACATACCCTTCATTGATTTCCAAACCACGATGTCAAGATTCGTACCTATCTCCATGGAACTCTGCCCTTTTCGGTGTTTTCTTACTGCTACAGTCACAGCTCCTAGTTTAAAACTCGTCACGTGGAGGTGCCTTTCTTCCTGCAAGCCCAATGCTACGGCCTGAACTGTGCTCCTCAAAATCCACATGTTGAAGCCCCAGCCCCCAATGCTGACTGTATTTGGAGGGGATAAAGTTAAATGAGGCCATAAGGGTGGGATCCTGACATGACAGGATTAGTGTCCTTGTAAGAGACACCAGCTTATTCTTGTCTCCCTGCCAGTGTGCACAAAGAGGTCATGTGAGCACACAGCAAAATGAGTCACTTACTAGCTGGGAAACAGGCCTCACCGCAGAAACCGACTATGCAGGCACCCAACCCTGGACTTGAACCTCCAGAATGGTGAGAAAATACACGTCTGTCGTGTAAGCTACCCAGTCCATGGTGTTTTACGGTGGCCTGAGCTAGGACACCAGTGATGCAATAACCACGCTGTACTTAGGATCCAGTTATTTTGCAGTGGGAGGCCTCCTCCCTCCAGATGATCCCGTCTGCATTCGGCCAGCGGAAGCACTGGGGCAATGCTCCTGTCCTTAACCTAGGTGCTCTTTTATTCAACGGGGCTGAGCTAAAGGTCCTCATTAGGAACTACAAAAACTAAACTATTTGGTGAAAAAAAAAAGTGCTTATATTCACTCTTTTTAAGGCTATTGCTAAGCTTTTGTGTCCATTTTATGTCTCGGTTCCCTCTTCAAACTTAAAATGAGACACAGGTTAGCCTGAGGGACTGTGGGAGCAGAGGTAAGGTCATCCCCCTACTTGCAGTAGGAGGTCATCTAAGAGAAAACGTAAGAATAAAGGGCTGATCGTGTGTATGGCAATGAAGGTAAAAATGTGTACATTCATAAGGACTGGGTTAAATTACAAAGCACAAAGCAGCAGCTTAAACAAGGTAGAGATTTATTTGTGTCTCCCACACAGGTAGACGGCAAGGACTGGTATGGTGGCTCCACAGTTGCCACAGACCCTGGCTTCCCGGCTTCCACCCTGAAGATCATCTCGTGGTCCAAGACGGCTACTGGAGATTCAGTCATCACATCCTCATTTC